ATGAAGAAGCACATATTATTTTGAAGTTCTAGCCGTGGGAACCTGGTCTGAAGCCAGACAGACGTCCTTTCAAAGTCCAGCTCTGCCCTTTACAAGCCATGTGGCCTTGCCCCCCTACCCCTGTTCCTTTGGCTTCCTGCCTGTGAAGAGGGACACCGTCTCTGCTGGCTGTCTCCCAGGGAGAGCAGATGGAAGCCCCAGTGGGCAGTGGTCTGCTAAGCGGGTAGGTCCCAGGGCTGGCGGGCCCAAGCCCAAATGCGTAGCCCATCCCTCACCAGCTTCCTCACCTTTAGCAAATTACTTAACGTCTCTGCCGTAGGGTTTTTTTTAAATCTAGTAATTGGAGCTGATACTAGACTTAGCTCAGAGTTGCTATCAAGATTCAATAAATTAGTATAAGCTTAGAAGATTGCTGACATATAGTAAGTGCTCAATAAACATGGCGACCCTAGTAATGAACTTTGTAAGTTGCAAAGGATGGCTCCAGGTGGGAGGTGGAGAAAGGGCATGTGACAGGGCCAGCAGTCCTCCTTCTGAAACAGTTCCTGAAAATCTGCCCTTCGACAGTGGACAGTGAACAAAGAGGCAGGCTTCACCCTGGTCTACACAGGCAGGGAACGGGGAATCACCTGAGACAGAGGCCTCATGGGTAAGTGCCAAGACCAAAGGAAGCACCAAACCCTGCCTGGGGGTCGGGGGAACCCAGAATGATGGGTTTGGATTTCAGTCCTGGCCCCACGACACTGCCTGGGCCACACTGGGAAAGCCTCTTCAGTGATCTGGTCTCAGTTTTCTGTATGCAGCAGGCTCCACGGTGATTCCTGGCTGTTTCACAAGCCAGGAAAGAAGATAGGTGTGGTAATGTGTGGGAGTGAATGTGGACTGGGCCAGTGCACATCCAGAAATCCAGCCCCGGTCTGCGCACCGCACAGGGTCCCAGGCCAGGCATCAGGCTTGGCTTTGCGGCTGTTCTGCCCCAAGCTTACTGTGTGGGCTTGGGTGAGCTCTGTCTTGCCCCTGTTGGGCCCCTGTCTCCTTTCCTCTTCTGTATGGTGAAGGCACAGGAAGAGATCAGTGGTTCTGAAACTGGGCTCCAGGGAACCCACAGCTTCCACAAAGAAGCACTGGGAGCCCCTCCCACAGTGGAGCATGAACTGGTGGGACTTCAGGCTCTAGCTGGTCTCCTCACATCAACCTGGGACATTTCCATTTTTATCTACTCTGCATACTGAGTTCCAAGTAAGGTTCTTTTAGAAAACAATAATAATAAAAAAGGATTCCATGGCCAAAAAAGGTTTAAAAGAACCACTGGACCAGATGGCCTATAGGGGCCCTTCCAGCCCCAGTCTGGCATGGTTTGAGAAGTCGGACTCGTTTCTCCCGAGTTTTGTTTACCAGCACTCTCCAGCTCTTACTGCATACCAGGCCTGTTCTTCGCAGCCTACGGATCGCACCACATTTAACTCACCGAAACACCGCCTGGCTTCCCAAGAGCCCCGTGATTGCGGAAGTGACGCCACGTGTCTAAGAAGGCCCAGGGGAGCCCTCTCCCCCTCGGCCGCATCTTCTGGGCACCCCAACAGGCCAGATGGTGCTGACTCTGAGGAGCCGCAGGTGCACGCAGCGGCAGGGTGTGGTCCAGGGAAGCCTGCGTGCGCCAGCCCCACCCCCACCCCCCCGAGGCAGGAGCACTCCGGCTTGACACAGACACTTTCATGCGAGGGATGTTTCCTTAGTGACGTCCACAACAACGGGGCCACTGCTTCCTGTGACTCATCACGGCCACCATGCTGCCATCGACACTCTGCACCAGGTGGCTGCAGACTGAGTTTCAGGGCGGTTGCCAGAGGCTGGAGAAGGCCCGGAGCGAGGGGTCTGATCTCATCCCCCGCCAGCTCATCAAGGCGAGCGCCTGGGCCGCCGCAGCCTAGCACGATCCAGCTCCCTGCCCGCAGAGACAAAAGCGGGAGGGACCCGCAGCGGTGCTCTCTGGGGGCACGGGCTTGGCCCCATCGTCCATGTCAGTACTTTAAGTAGCTTATTGCATGAGCTTTTCTGTTCAGGTTATGTGTTCTGGGATCACGTGGCTGACGTCACTGGTGGGAACTTCCGCCACGTCGCAGCAGCACATCCCAAGTGCAGACAGAGGGCCAAAGTTCTAGGGGCTAGTCTGGAGAGCTTAATGAGTAGCCTTGAACTATGAAGCAACTGACCTCAGCAGGTGGCACTAGGTGGCACTAAGGTGCTAGGGAAAGGGTGGAGTGGCATCCTCGCTTTACTGGGCACCTTGCTGACAGCTGCAGATACAAAATAAGCATGATGCAAGTCTTATCTTCCAGAAGCTCAGAGCCTAATGGGAGAGCTAGGGAGCTCAGTGGTGTTACAATCTGATGTTCACGTCGCGGTGGAGACAGACATGGCGGGTCACGCATCTGCCGCCGCGCTGTGCCAGCCAGCAATAGCACTGAGCTCAGGTGTCCGGACCCGGTTGCAGGTCAGCCCCTCCGGACTCAGATGGGCTTACTCGCATTATCTGTCTCCTGGACTGGGATGGCCTTGGTGGAACAGCTGAAGCAATTCGGCCTTGCCATCCTCCAGTGGGCTTGCGTGGGCTGCTGCCAGGGAAGGGGAGAGCCAAGAGGTGGCAGCAGCCATTGGTGCTTTTCAGGCCTCTGTAGTTACTCATATCCCATTGGCTATAAAGCAAGTCCAGGGTCAGACTGTTAGAATGGGAGGGAGCCCAAGAGTTCCATGGCCAAGGGCATGCATACAGGAAGAGGTTAAGATCTGGGGCCATTACAGTATCAGGCTGCCACACAAGGAGACTGTGGGGGGCCCAGGGAGGGGCCTAACTCAGCCCCCAGGCAGTCACAGAAGCTCGTGGGGAGGACATCTGAGCAGAGCCTAGTAGGCCAAGTCTGAATTTGCAGGTGGAGAGCAGAGGCAGGAGGTTTTCATGATCAGAGAGTGCTGAGTAGTTGGGTATTTGAAGACGTGAGGGCTGAGAAGGAATGAGGTCACTGACCACAGCAGTGTCCAGGTCACGGCCTCACAGGCCCTATTGAAGAGCTAGGTCTTTATTCTAAGGGCAGGAGGCACGTGTGAAAGTTTTGAGCAAAAAAAATGAGGGAAGACAATCAGATTTGTGGTTTTTAAAAAAAATTTTTTAGTATTTATGTATTTTTGAGAGAGAGACAGACAGAGTGAGAGCAGAGGAGGGGCTGCGGGAAAGGGAGACACAGATTCAAAAACAGACCCCAGGCTCTGAGCCGTCAGCACAGAGCCTGATGTGGGGCTCAAACTCACAAACTGCTTGATCATGACCTGAGCCAAAGTCTGACACATAACTGACTGAGCCACCCAGGCGCCCTTAGATTTGTGCTTTGATAGAGAACACATTGAGGGTTGACAGAGGGAGGCAAGCGGCAGATGGGCGAGATGGGGGATGTGTATTCAGGAGGGCACTCGTGATGAGCTCTGGGTGTTGGACGGAAGTGATCAATCACTGAATTTCTGAAACCAATATTGCACTGTAAATTAACTCACTAAAATTTAAATAAATTTAGAAAAAAGGTGACCATGGCAGAAGACTATGGGATGGGGGGAATGGTGGGGGGCTGCAGGGAGAGGATGGGTTGCAGTGGGCCCAGAGAAAGGTGCTCGGTGTGGTGAGAGGGTGGGGACTGTGGTCCAAAGAGATGATGTGCAAACAGAATGAGCAAAGTCTGAGGACCGGTGGGCAGGCTAGGCCAGGCGAAAACAGGGATGGGTGGTCTGACGCTGTCTCCTGACCTTCTGCACAGGAATTGAAACAGCTTTTCCCGATATCCGTGCTAAATAACCCAAATCATGACCCGGCTCCTCCCTTTTGTTGGCCAAAGGGGTCTGGGATAGGCTGTCACATGAAGCTAGCTCCAGTCCCTTCCCCTCATGGGCTTCAGTTGCCCCATCTAAAAATGAGACTTTTTTTTTTAAATTCAAGTTTATTTATTTATTTTGAAAGAGACAGAGCAAACAGGGGAGGGGCATAGAGAGAGGGAAAGAATCCCAAGCAAGCTCTACACTGTCCGTGCAGAGCCCGATGCAGGGCTTGAACCCACAAACTGTGCGATCATGACCTGAATCAAAACCAAGAGTCGGACGCTTAATCAACTGAGCCACCCAGGTGCCCCTAAAAATGGGACATTTTAGGTGATCTCTCAGGGCCCTCTTCCCTTGGGTGGGCCATGTTCCGTTGGAGCTGTGGTCTTCACGTCAGAAGCAGTCAGACCACTAACGACGTACCCAGGGAGCCTGTTGCAAATACCCATCCTGGGCTTCACCTTAGAGACTAACCCTGGTGTGGGGACTGGGTTTCTGATATTCTGGCAGAGCACCCCATGTGATCCCGATGCCAGGCAGGCCTGGCTAGAGCGCAGCTGTACTCCCAGGGCCTGGAGTGGTGGCCCAGAGCACAGAGGAGCTGCAGGAAGCATGCTGAGGGCCTGCAGGGGCCTGGTTCAGAGAGGCCCCGCTCGAAGGCCTTTGCCTGGAGTGAGGGCCACTCCTGGAGGGATGGGCATTGGGTTGGGCCTTGACATCTAAGTGGGTTTTCGGTTTGTTTTGTTTGTTTGTCTTGCTTTGTTTACAGTGCTCTTGGTTAAAACTTAGTCTGTACTCATTCTAGAACTTTCCTAAGCACAGGAAAAGAAAGGAGTCGAAAGAAAAACTCACCCGTCATTCTAAAACCCAGACACAACTAAGGTCTCCTGTTGCCATGTTATTAGAGAAGACGTTGCTAGCCAGAGCAGGAGCAGGGACAGTGTGGGCCGAGGACAGGAGGCGACAGCTGGCTGAGCGTGTTGTGGGGCCAAGGGACACGTTCAGGCCCCACCCGCCTTCTGTGTCTCAGGATCTGTCGCCCCACAGTCCAGCGTGAGGAGGTCAGGCCTGGGGGTGTCAAGGCCCTCCACCAGGGTTCCTGAGCACGGCCCTCATCCATCTCTGTTTCCTCTGTGCAGGTGCTGTTTGCCCTGAACCAGACCCTGCTGCAGCACGAGAGTGTGAGGGCAGGGAGCCTGCAGGCCCCCTACACCACAGAGGACCTCATCAAGCACTACAACTGTGGGGACCTCAATGCCGTCATCTTCAACCATGACACATCCCAGGTGAGGCGCCCCTCCTCCCACACCGATAGCTGAAGGCCGGGCCCATCTGAACCCACCTAGCATTTATTAGACACCTACTACATGCCAGGTGCAAGCAGTCTCTATGCCGTGGGAGGCAGGACCTATTGGTATTCCATTTTACAGATGGGAAAACTGAGGCTCAACGAAGCAAAGAGACTTACCCAAGCCCACCCCACTTCATTGTTGCGTTCCAAAGTAATCAAAAGCAGCACTTGAGTCTGGCGTGTATGGTAGTAGCTTAACTTGTAAGAACCAGGGCCTCTGAGCAGTTTGGCATCTGGGGAAGTTAGAGCCTAGGGGGGGAAACAGCTCACGGTGAGGGCTTGAGCTGGACTCCAGCCAGGGGCATTCTGTCTTGAGTCAAGCCCTGGAGGAAAGACTACCCCGGCTGGGCAGAGAGTGAGAGGCACCCTGTGGAGCTGAGTGTGACCACGCCAGGTGTCCCCTTTGCCCTCAGTAGAAATTCCAAGATGCTTCATGTAGCACTCACGTCCTTCTGGGGCTTGCCCTCTGCTGACCTTATCACAGCCAGGTGCCCCACCACATAGACCTGGTTCTGCTGACCTGCACTGCATGCCGTTGACCCGTGTAAGCCCCTGCGCCTTTGTTCAGGCTCCTCCCTCTTCTGTTCCTACAGCTTGGCCACAGTCAATTGTTACCCCCTCTCAGAAGCCCTCCCTGACTGCCTAGGTGGAGTTAGATAGTCCCCTAGGTCCCTCTCGGCCCACTGTGCTTCCTGTCACAGTGCTTGGTTAACCATTCCTTCAAGAAGAGACCACTTCCCCTCTCAGGACAGCGCAGCAGCTCCCCGTTTTTCTCAGTGTCCATAATGGCCTCTGTGGCCCTGGAGTCTTCCCTGACCCCTGACCCCATGTCCTCTGCCCTCCGCTCATACCCACCGCTCAAGCCTCATGGGCCTGCGTGTTGTTCCACGAGCACACTGGCGTGCTTCACCTATTCGATGGCTGTTCCCTCCGCCAGGAATGCCCTTCGCCGGGTATCACCACAGCTCACACCCATCTTAACTCAGACATCACCGTCTCCGTGAGATGAGCCCCAACTCCCCGAACTAGAATTGCAGCCTGATCCTGCTCCCACTCTCTCAACCCCTTTATTATGCTCCCCTCCCCCCACCCCACGCCATGGTCTTAATTATTTTCTCACATACTTCCATATTGTGAGTCACTGGTAAGTGATGGTGTGTTGTTTGTCCATCCCTACTAGAGCCTAAGCTCTCTGAGGACAGGCATTTGCACCTGTTTTGTTCGTCGGTATATTCTGATTGGCTAGGGCAATGCCTGGCACAGAGCAGGACTTAGTAAACAGTTGCTGAATGAATGAACGGAATTGTTTGTAAATACCAAGAACAGTGCAATGAAAAGAGATGTGGGGCAGGAGGGGGGTTGCAGAGACAGCTGCCCTCATGGGGCCGACAATCTCCTGGGAGAGACGGGGACATTCCACAAGCAATGGCATCCAAGTGTGACCCTCGCTCCAAGGGAGAGTAGAGGGTGCAACAGGGGCCTTTGGCAGAAGCGGGAGTTTAAACGGACTCAGGGCAAGAAGGAAGGACGCCTGCAAGGTGAGAGGTCAGAGAAGAGCCTGACTTGGCCACGGACAGGAGGAAGAGGAATGTTCCAGCAGAGGCAAGAGAGGGCAGGAGGTGGGGTGTGGGTGGGGCTGGAGGTGTAGCCAGGGACCAGGCCAAGAGGTTCTGTGTGTGCAGGCCACCCTCTAGACCCCGAGCAACCCTCTCTCCCTCCCAGTGCCCAGCACAAGGCACGGCGCAGCGTGAGTATCAGGGAACGGCCGTCGAGGGAGCAAAGGTGGGTGTGTGTTGTGCTCTGTGCATTGTAGACAGTGAAGAGAAGGATCTAGAGACCTTGCAGAGGAGGCTCAGGACTCTGAGAGCTCCGAGTCTGAGTCTGGGTGTCCAAGAGTTCTGAGCCGGAGCCCTGCCCGGTGTCATTTGCTGGGAGGAGAAAGGCTGGTGAGCTCTGTGGCCGAGGGGACCTGGGCAACACTCCAGACGACCTGGCTATGAAGGGCTGGGCAGGACCAGGCCCTGCTATGTTTGCGGCTGCTGCGGAGCTAAGAGAGGGCAGAACGGGGTAACTTCAGGGGATAGCGAACTCACGCTTTCTTTGAGCATGCGTCCAGGACCACTGATGTGCCTCTGGCCGGTGAACAGCACTGGGGTCCCCGGGCGGTGCCCATACTTGAAACAGGACAGAGGGTGCGGTTGGATTGGCCCACTCAGGTCAGAACAGCAACACAGGCCGCACTCTCCCTGCCCTCTGGGTACACAGGCAGAGGGCAACTAGACACCCCGTCCCCAGATGCAGAAAAGCCTAGAATCGGGGTAACAAGGCTAAATCCAGTGCTCGGGTTCTGACAGAGAAAGGGCCCAGGTCACATGGGGCTGCATCTGTAGCTGGAGGCCTGGAAGGCTGTGGGAGGCTGAGGACACACGGCTGGAGGGGTGCAGTCCCCGCCTTCAGTCAGGGAGGAAGTGGTAGTGAGCTGGGCTTGAGAACGGAGTCTACCAGGTGGGGATGAGGGGTGGGGGTGTGGGAATGTGGGGGGTCCGGGAAAGATTTGCAGAGCAAGGGGCAGAGCAGGGGGTGGGGGTGAAAATGCCTGCTGAGGGGCAGGAGCCCGGAGCCCAGGCTTGAGGGTGATGTGGTCAGAAAAACGCCTCTGGCCTCAGTGCAGAAGACGATCAAGTGGCCAGTGCAGAGGAGAGGTGCAGGGCCCAGGATGGGGGGCAGGCGCTGGCGCTGGGTACACCTCAGCCTTGATCTGTCCTGCCTCACCCCCCACCGTCCCACCTTCAGCAGCAGCTCACGTCTCAGCCTCCCGAAGCTCCCAGGTCACTTGCACCATTGATGCCCTGCAATAGCAGGGTGACCCAAAGGCCCCGTCCCCGGGAAGCCTCGTCTGAGCCCTCAGCCTGTGTTCGGTGTAGAGCGGCCATATACCTATCATCCAGACCCAGCCCTTTGGAGAGTGAAAGGTCAAGTATAATCAAGAGTCTGAATCATTAACAGGCATGGAGCAGTCTACCCTAGCCGTGAACCCAGACCGTCCTACACGAACCAGGGCTCACAGCTGTCCGTTAGATGTCTACTCAACTCCCACACCCCTGTCAAGCATGGGCCCTGCAGGGCTCTGACTCCCTCTCTGGGCCGTGAGCCCCATTCAGGGCAGCAGACCCTGTCAGAAGGTGCTGCGTGGCCCCTAGCCTGACGCAGAGCCAGACCCATGGAAGGTCCTAGAAGGGGTCTGTGGGATAGATGGGCTAAACAGACGGGATGAGGCCATTGAGGCCAGTGACATCAGCAGACCTGAGCGCTTGACCACCAGACCTGACGCCGTCCTGGCCAGGGGAGCCTCTGCTGAAGGTCCGCCCCACGGCCCTACTGCCGTCCCACCTCAGACCCATGGCTCTAAGGCCCTGGGGACCTGACATGTCTTTAAAGTTCTATGGTGCGTCCTGCACTTAAACTTATCACGGGAGATTTAAGGCTCCTGACAAGTCTAATGACATCATTAATTTGTTTCCATCTCAGCCCGGGCTTCAACCCAAGTCCCATCCTTGGCCTGGAGCCAGGGCCCATCAGCGTGAAACATGCAGAGAACGTCAGGCAGCTGCCGGGCAGCCCGGGAAACCCCGGTGGCTACCCCAGCTCCTTGGTGGCTTTGACATTGAACTTTCTGGTTTTTGTCCTTGTTAAATTTTTTCAGCTCCCTAAGGAATGACTGGAGATTCATCTTTCCACAAACACACATTCATGGTCAGGAAGCAGAGGAGACACTTGGGAGAAGGGAAGGGAAGCAGGCATCCTGCCTGCATGGCTCTCTGATGGCTCTGAAGGCTTCCCTTTGTCATCTCCGGCACTACCCCTGCCCATGGCCACCCTTCCCTGTAGCCTCTGCCATCACAGGGGTGAGGCGATGAAGCCAAATCCGTCCCCAGGCTAGTTCCACAAAGCTGACACGTAGTCGGGATTCTCTCTGTGCTCTGCACTGTGCTAGTAAGCACTTTCTAAAACTGATCTTATTTAATCCCTCCAACAGCGTGTATTACTCCCACTTTACCAGTTTGGACACTGAGTGTCAGACGGCACGAGTAACTTGCTAGTTATATAGAGGCAGCCCAACTGGTAAGTGGCCAAAGAGGGATTCCAGCCCAGGTTGTCCTGGCTGTCTGACTTCAGGGCCCGCATTCACCACCACCACCGTGCATTCATTCACTGATTGAACAAACGTTCGTTTCTTGGTATAACACCATCCCATGTTCCTTCCCACACTTGAGGAACAAAGAGGGCCATGTTTCCAGAAATAACCCTTCTGAGCCACGGCTCGTCCCCCAGTCAGAAGCCTTTCCTGTAGCTGCATCAAGTCCAAGAGTGACCTGCTTTGTCAGGGCTTCCAATCATCCCTTTCATCATTGGTGGAGGAGGTGAGAGCTTCATGCCTTCATTTATCCATTTGCCAAATAGTCCCCGGGCACCAACTCTGATTGGGCACTGGAAGGGCTGCTGTACACAGCTGTGCAGGTTGTACATTTTAGGTCACATTAGTCATATTGTTGCCTTGTCATTCCAGAACGGCGAATCAGTCCTTTATGACAGAGAAGTCCCTCCCCTTCCACTCTGGGGAGCACCCTGGTCCTTGGCCAGCAGATATCAGAGACAGATGTCCTACCCCTGTCCAAATCTCTGAAGGTTCAGCCTCTGCTGACGTCTCCATTTTCCTCAGAAAGAGTGTTGACAACTTGTCAGTGGCTCTAAAAGCCATATGGCTGGGCCGCATGACCTTTGGGGACTAAGCCCTGTAGGAATTTAGTCTCCTAGTGCCATTCTCTATCTAGCGCTCCCATCAGTGAGCTAGGCCTCACGTTCTGTGCTTCAGCTTGAGCTGATGAAGAGAGAGAAATAGAAGAGGAGACTCCAGATGGAAGGCATCCTGAGCACAGGGCTTGGAATGACACTTAGGTGTTCTGGGGAAATAGTATATTCTGGCTCCCTGCCTCAGTTTCCTCAGTGGCCATGGCTTCTTCTCAGGCTCCACCCACAACTGGAGTCCACAGTGCTGGAAACACCTGGGCCCAGCAACCAGGCCGGAAGGACAAAATCCTGGGAAAACCCAGGAGGACGCAGTGCAGTGAGGAAGGACAGAACAACTCTATGTTCAAGGTTCCAGAAACCTCACCGGGCACCTACTTTGTGTCAGGCACTTGGGGCCCAGGAGTGACAAAGGGCATGTCCCTGGACTCAGAGAGTTCCCTGCCTAGTTTAATAAAATGCCAGCCACATAACTGGGCGTGGATAGCTAACCCAGAGCTAAGAAATGTGGAAAGTTCCAGGGGGGTTGAATAAACCCTCATTATGGGATGAAGCCACGGTCCTGGACTTTAAGTTTTCAAGAACGGACGGAGGAATTTGGTTGTGCTCTGAGAAGTAGTGGGGCTGGGGATGGCGAGATGGTAGTGCCAACCGGGGCTCAGGCATGGGGAAAACCAGAGGCCATGACCCCTCCTGTTGCCTCTGGAGGGTGGGCTGGGCTGAACACAGTCCTTACAGCACCCGCCATCGCAGATATCCCCATCTTACACATGAGGAAACCAGAGCTCAGAAAAGTTAAGTACGTTGGCCAGAGTCACACAGTGACAGAACCAGGCCTGAATCCAGGCCAGCCTGACCCCGGGCCCTCTGACCATTCTGCTACACCAGGCAGCTCAACCAACCCCCCGGCCCTGCTCGCTGACCTGAATTCCTTGCACACCGGGCTGGGTGCCGGAGGCAGGACAACGAGGGAGCTGAGAGCCACCGGCCTCACAGCCTTTCGCATCTGGAAGCTGAGGGCCAATCAGGTGGAGACACAGCGAGATTCGTGGGAGGCAGCAGGCCAGGGCTCACCTTCCCCGGCTGCTCCTTCGCTAGCTGTGTGACTTTGCACTTGTCCCTGGACCTTTCCACTCTCTCTGGTTTTGTTTGTGAAAATAGAATAACAATACTCCTCTCAAAGCGCTTTTGGGTTGATTAAAACCACACACAAAGTGGATAGACCCCTGAAGGGCCGTTCAGTAGAGGTAAGTTGCCCGCTCGGCTGGGCCGTGTGGGTTTGCTCAATGCCATCTTGCCCCAGAGGGCACTGAAGGCAGCCTCTGTCTTGCCTTTACAGCTGCCCAGCTTCATCAACACCACCCTCCCGCCGCACGAGCAGGTGACGGCACAGGAGATCGACAGCTACTTCCGCCACGAGCTCATCCACAAGAGGAACGAGCGGATGGGGAGGAGGGTCATGGCACTTCTGCGGGAGAACGAGGACAAGATCTGCTTCTTTGCCTTCGGAGCAGGTTTGGGCCGGAGTGGGGAAGGGATTGCATGCAGGATCCTTAAAGGCTGAGAGATGGGTGAGCCCCTCTCCTGACCTCTGCTTCAGGAAGGAGAAGTAGAGGTCCAGAATGGAGCAGGAGAGGCCACACAGCACCAGTCTCCTGTTTCTGGCCGAGTGCTCCTTCATAACAGGCCCCGTCAGCCAGAGGAGTGGCCTTGCCAAGGTCAGGACAACTTTCATCCCCCCTTCATGCCCCAGGAGGCCGTGTTGAGAGCCCAGAACCAAAGCCGGCTCCCACTGCCCGCCCAGCCTTGAGCCATCCCCGCCCCTGTCCCTGGGGGGACCCAGGGCCAAGCCCATGAGCAACGTGGAGCCAGGTGGGGAGAAGGCAGACTCCAGCACCCCACGTCCCAGCTCCAGAGCCCAGCTAGGCTGCGTGACCTTGGCACACTGCAAGCAAGGTCTCCGGCCCCTCTTCTGTGAATGGGCAGCGATAGCAAAGACCATTTGATGAATCAAAAATCTCTACCTCGTGGAAGAGTTATAAAAATCAGCAGTAACATTTAAATAACCTAATGGGGGGAACTCAGAATGGCAGCTACCTTCTCCATCCTCAGCAGCATCAAGAGAGTTAATACCAGTTTTGTTGTCCCACTGTGGACCATGAACTTGGTCCTTCTCCTGAAAGCTCTAGCCTCTTTGTACAAAGGGAAGTCTAGATGTCAGAGCTTGCTCGGCATCTCCCTCGCTGTCCCTCCATTCTCTTCCTCCCTCCTCTCCCTCACTCCTTCTTCCTTTCCCTAAGGCTGCCTCCCATGGTGACAACAATGTCTATGATGAGACCAGGGTATTGCATTTGCCTCCTTTGTTCGTCAGCTTTTGCTCGAGAGTCACAGCAGTAGAAATGTATCTCTTGCTCACATGGGCGCAGTCCACCGCCTACTTTGCGAGAATGAAGCCGGGGCCACCATGCCTTGCGGGGAGACCTCACTGCCACCTCGTCTCTGCTTTCCCTTCCCCAGCCCCTTGCCCGTGCACTTGCCGCCTGCTCAAGCGTCCTCGCAACCCTGTGTGAGGCCCGCCTCTCCCCGCCCTGCCATTCAACCCCATACCCTTCAAGGAAGAGCCAGGCTCCTCTGACTGTGCCTGTCCTCCCTCCTGCGTGGCCCCTGTCACGGGAGAGGCTCATGGGTCAGCCCCTTGAGGCCATACCTGCAGCTGGACAGAAAGAGTCCCAGCTTGTGTTGGCACTGCTGTGGCCCGGTGTGGGCTGTGGTGGATCCCATCCCCTCTTACAGCCTCAGTTTACTCATCTGAACAGAGGTCTTCAGAAAGCGCTAGGGCCATTGATGATTCCAGGCACTATTCGAACAGTTTTCAGAGAAGAGAGGGATTCCTGTCGGAGAGTTTGGAGGTGCCAGCAGGAGTAAGACTTGTCTGGCCACATGGAGAGGGCCAGGCTACCCTCCAGGTGCAGCCTCCTGGGGACCTGGCATGAGTCAGGACAGCTCTGGGGACAGGTGCAGGAGAGGGAGTGCTCCCAGACACACCGTCTCACTCCCCGTCCGGCTGCCACCCGAGCCCTCTCCCCTTGAGCACCTGGGCAGTGTTCCCACTCCAGAGCGGCCCCCTAGGGGCTACAGGAGGGAGCCATTCGGAGGCATACCAGCCTCCGGGCATCTCTCCAGGCCTCGGAAGGCCCTTAGTAAGCCTGATCCTTGAGAGAGTCCTGTAAGAGACCCAGCACTCCACGTGGCCTGCCAGGGTGCCAGGGTCTCCCTGCCCCACGTGTCCCAGGGCCTGGGGCCAGAGCCAGCTAAGGTCTGAGGCCAGCTCTTCCCTGTGGGTGGGGAGATGGGAAAGCCTGGAGATGAAAATCACAGTGGTGTGGGTGGCCCTGGACACTGGCCGCCTTCTCCTAAAACCCAGGTCCTTGGAGACACAAGCGTCTGCTCAGGCCCTCGGCCAGCATGTGGGCACCATGCGCTCCTCTGGCTTCTTCCCATCTCTGGGGTCCAGCTGGTCCCTGGTTCGTCCTGTTGACAGACCACTGAAATGACTCCTGTCCGTCTGCTCCATCCTTCCCCATTGCCATGGTCCCAGTCCAAGCCTCCATCAGCTCCAGCCTCCTCGGCTCCACTCAGCCTTCGCCGCCTCCAGGCCGCTCCCCACGACATAGCCAGTGACTGCTGCTGGCTCTGTCTCCTACCCGCTCTGCCTTGAACTCCGGGAAGGCATGCACCACATACTCCTCCTGTGTCCGAAGCATTGTGTGATAGGTGTCAAACTTGATGAGTGTATGAAGGAAAGAATGAGGGAAGGCACGAACAAGTGGATGAACGTTGGCCAGATGCTTCCTTTCTGGTCTCCTCTGGGCCTGGCAGACAGGGCAGCAGGAAAGTTGGGGCCGTGTGAGCCCCACCTTGGCTCCTGGAGACCTGCCAGCCAATAACACAAGCCCAGAGCCATGTGCAGACCTGGCTGGCAGCTGTACTAGAGGCTCCTGAAACAAACGTTCTACCCCGCACTACACATCTACCCTTGACCTGAGAATTTCAAAGATGGATGCAGACTCCAAGCTCAAGCCTGCCCCCCTCATTCTAGCTCCAGATAGACTGAGGTCCCTGTAGGTCAAGATATGGGTCAAGTTCATGGCAAGTCAGGGAGAGAGCCAGGGCTGGACCCCAGGCCCAGGAGCTATGATCCAGGGACTCTGTTCTCACATGCAGTCAGGGAGCCGGCTATACAGACCTGTGACGGCCTCTGTATTGGCATGGAATGTGTCCAGGCACAGTGCAGAGGGAGAAAAGTCCATGCCTCCCTCACTGCATTCTTACGGGTATGTAACTCCCGAGTCCCGCATCCTGTGGCAGCTGAAGATTTACGTGAAGCGCTAGGACAGATACCCCTGGGCAGCCTGCAACTTGCAGATGCCCTTCGGACACCCCCACTCCACTCCCCACGCTTCTGCCTGGGCGCCTCTGCAGCCCCAGCCCAGACCTTCCTAGACCATAGGGTGCGGACTCTTGTTGCCCATCCTCTGTCTGGTCCTCAAAGAAGGCCCAGGGTCCCCCAAGGCTATGGGAAGGAGGAGGGACCCATGCCGCTGGAACTGTGCCCAACCGTCCCAGGTGTGTCTGCACATGCAAAGGTCTCTCAGATCCAGGTGCAATGTGTATCTCTAGGAAATGCCTTAGAAAACAGAAACATAATGGTAGGCACCTCTGACCCCGCCCCAGCCTGGGCTTGCCTGGTGTCTGAGCCAAGCCCCTTCTGATGCTCTGCCATTTGAGGCCAGCCTCAGGCTCCATGGCTCCAGCTAAGGCAGGCCCGAAAGAGAGCCTCCACCTGCCCCTCCCCACCCAGTGCCATCCAGATTCTTCCTCAGCCCACCTCTGCTCCAGAATCCCTTCCTGAAAGGCCACAGGTACAGCTAGGCTTTCCAGTGCTGAGAGCAATCTGGCTGCCCCTACAGAGAGATTCAGTACAAAGAGTAAGAGCTTTGGTGTCAGGGTGCTTGTGTATAAAGTGCGGCTCTACCCCTGTCTGCGGAGAGACATCGGGAAAGCCACTTCACCTCCAAGGGCCTCAGTCTCTCGTCTGCAAAATGGGGATAATACACCTGCTTCATCAGATTGTGCTAAATATATTTGTTTTAGATCACGAATTAAAAGTCTCTACCATGGTGGAGGGACTCTTATCATAGAAGCTCCTGTGTGCCAGCCGCCACCCCAGGCTCTTAGCCTACATTAGCTGCCATCTTCACAATGACACCAGGAGATGGGTTTTATGATACTCATTTTGCAGATGAAAACTAAGGTCCAGAGAGGAAGAATGGCTTCCTCAAGGCCATGCAGGCAGACCTTCAACTGGAATCTGGTTTCTCAGGTCCCTAGTCCTAGCCATTTCCTCCATACACGGAGCCCTTGCTCTAGAATTCCGGAAATGTTGATGGGTTTGTGGGAAGGGTATCTTTTTAGGCGGCACATCCCACAGAAGAGTACTCTCCTTAGTGGTGTTTCTGGAGCGAGCCACAATCTGACCCCTTCTGGGGGTTGCTCGGTGGGCTCAGAGGCAGGTGGGGTGTGAACATGCGTGACAGTTCTGACCAGGCCTGAGGGACATCTGGGGGTGACATCAGACAGAAGCCCTGTCCTCCAGGAAGTGGCTGTGGCCAGTGTGCAAACCCAGGCCTTCTGGGATGGCCGAGGCCACTGCCCAGGAGAGGAGTGTCCAGGGGGAGGGAAGGCCCAGTTCCTGACTACCAGCCTCAGGGACCAGCTGAGGGCCCCCCAAGATCTTGTGCATGTTCTGGATTTCTTCTGCTCTAGAAACAACTTAGGAAAATAGGTACTAGGTGGTGAGGTTTTGTTAACTAAATTTATTCAGTTTCGGGCTTAACTAATATTCTGAAATTACCTCCTTTCTACCATTCTTGAAGTTAAACATCTTTTGCTTTAAAAAAAAAAATGTGAGGCACCTGGGTGGCTCAGTCAGTTAAGTGTCCGACTTTGGCTCAGGTCATGATCTCATGGTTCATGGGTTCGAGCCCCACATTGGGTTCTGTGCTGACAGCTCAGAGCCTGGAGCCTGCTTCAGATTCTGTGCCTCCCTCTCTCTCTGCCCCTCCCCTGTTCATGCTCTGTCTCTCTGTCTCTCAACAGTAAGTAAGTGTTAAAAATTTTTAAATAAAAGTCTTAAAACAAATGATGGTGATGTGAGGCAAAGGGACCTTGCAAAGCCCTTACTTGGCAAAATAAAAATTTGTAACTTTATTGCTCGCCCTACCCACCCAGCTGTTCTTACTACCGGAGGGAATTGAGCATGCCTGAATCATGATGGAAAGAAACACAGAGGAGGGGTGAGGCCGCTCAGCGGGGAATATTACTAGCCCAGGCTTCCAAGAAGGTAGGAAGGGTGGGGCCAGAGCTCAGGTAGAAGGTCTGGCCTGGGTAGAGAAGAGCACTTCCTCATCTGTCCTGGAAGGACGGAGGAGGCTGGCAGACGAGTAATTTGCTA